ATATATTGCATCATGAGGTGACATCTCGCCTCGAAAGTGCCACTTCATTTGAGGTGCTATCACTACGGATGAAGTGCTCAAGTCACTTGGGGATGAAGCATAAGCAACAAAATTTGAACTTGTGATGATGTTAATATTGAATTATGTTATTTCTTTTAAAAATTTCATTCCGCAAAAAGAAATATATATCTTTATTTATATTTATAATTTTCATTGTATTGGATCATGAAAAATTTAACCACAATCTCTATGTTGATGGTTACTAGTTTAATTAGATTTATTACTTATGTTGACATTTAAAATTGTCAGGAAGTGATTGCTCAACCATTTTCAAAAGGTTGAACCCCAACCTTGAGGGCTCTCACTGCTCTGTCCCTAGAACTTTGTGAGGAAGGTAAATCGTCGGATGTGTCACAACAAATCAGAGAACAAGAGTTGACTGTATACTGCGCTTACAAGGAGTCCAATTCCATGTCTCAGAAATCGAACCCCTACACTACGGCTGCCAGCAAGACGTGAGATAACCTCACTCCTATCCTTTGCACCACTGAGCTATGCCCTGAGGGACAGATACTTGTGTAATTATTAATGTCATAGGTATTGAATTGAACAATGTTAAGAGTTGTTTGAGATCATTACTTTGAATTTACCATTAGTTTTTTGTTTAAGATGAGTTCTAGTTGACCATTATGATTATTCATAAGTGTCAAGTTAATTTTGAGTTGTAACTTTCTTGGAACTTGAGAGTTTGGCTTGTAACTTAGCTTTATGTATTAGTGTTGAGTTCATCTCGACTTTCAACAATTTCACCGTCTTGTTAGTTGTGATTTTTGTCGCTATATGTTTAATCACCACACTAACTTAATGGATTCTTAGCGAGAATCCTTATTGATATACGATAATAATCATAATTAAGCAGATAATAAAAATTAATTAAAGGCATGTTTCCCACCTAGAAAAAGAGAAATCAAGATGGGGGATAATTTGCTGGAAAAACGTATCAATTATTGTGGAAATGTGGCATTAAATTGGGTTAGTCAAACAGACAACCATATCAAGAAGCAGCAATAGGGGAAAAGTTGTTATCATCAGGTCAACAATATATTGGAAACTTTATGCATACAGCTCTTTCACACGTTTATAATTCCTGGTATCATTAAACAATATCTTATTCTAAACATTAAAGTTGATTAAAAGTGAAATATATATCTAAAAAAAATAAAAATAAAATTCAATTGCACAAGAAATACTACGGAAATTATGTAAGAACATATATCGTTGAACAAGGCACTCAATCTATGTCAATTAGGAATGTATACATTTGAGTCTCAAGGAGCCGAACGAAATAAGCTATTTATCAGCAAAAGTTAGAACAAGAATAATATATATTCATATTAATTTGCAGTCGATCGAGTTGATTATATATATATATATATTTATTTATTCTTCCTTTCAAAGTTGAAAAGGATAGAAAAGGTGAAAAATAAAATCAAAATTTGGTGTAGATCTCAAATTGACACTGTCGTTGTCAAAAGATACCATATCAACATGGAACCCTAATTAATTTATTATCATAAGAGATAATATAGGAATAAGAAGAATAAACTATAGTCATTGTTTGGTCCTCATTTTCTAAAGTTTATGTTTTCATAAACTTATTTTCGACTACATATTTTTTAATAAAATAATTTTACATGTATATTTGAATTTTTTTTTCTATTTTTTAACCATACATTTTCATAAAATAATTACTTTTAAAAAAATTTAAATTAAAAAAATCTCTATCGAATGTATATACATTCATAATTCAAATCAATACAACTTGATGACTAGCAAGTCAAATTGGTCAAGCAAGGTTTTTTTTAGATATATTTGAATTTTTTTTAAAGAGCTTCATTCACCGTTAAAAGACACCTTTGACGAAACTTTTGAAATATAATATTTGACATATGTTTGATTGGTTTCATTTTCAATTTAGACAATGTTATACTTGTTCATCTTTTATCGATAGGTAGATATGAGAGAGAGAGAGAGTTGTCTGAAAATTAAAATTTACCATTTACTAAAGAAAATGTTTTATTTTTTATTTTTGAGGAAAATATGATTACGTGAACAACTTTTGGAGAATGTTTTTCATGGAAAAATTGTCAATCAAACACCCTAAAAGTAAGAACTTTGATAAAAAGGGACATTTTCATGAAAAATAAAGTCAATCAAACACATGCTTACAATTTTACTCGTATGTAAGGTTGCTATTTTTAAAATATATAATTTTTTCTTTTTCAAATTTTACCATCCATAAAAGAATTGTTAATTATTCTATAACATACTTTTTGATGTAAGGTTACTTTTTGACCGTCCATGAATAAATATTAGTTATTCTATAACATAATTTTTAACTTATAAGTAAATCTTTTAAACTTAGTCAAACATGCCTATTAAATTGACATTAATTGGTCATTATCAATGGATACCCTTAGACAACAAATAATCCCGGTCGAGAAATGTTTGGCCAGATTGATTAATTACTAATTGACTTTCAAAAACTGGTCTCTTATCATGATTTGTTTGGCGGATTTATTTACTGATTTGACTTTCTAATGCACGAAGCACGATTAGCCATGAGCCACGTTGACAATCAAAACACTAAAAATGTATGGGAATATAATCATGATTAAAAGAGCCCGACCAAAATAATGTTCTAATTGATTCAGGTCTTAGTTAATAATTTTTACGTGTTATAATTACATAGGTTTTAGCCATGGAAAGATAATGTGAAGATCTGACCATTCCACAGACAAACTTTTGGTCGAATTATGTAACTTTTATCTTATGATTTTACTTTCTTTATTTGGGGAAAAATAATGATTCTTCAAGGACGTCTTGCATGATATGAACTAAGGGTGTATTTAACTGTAAGCATGGAATTTACCTGGAAATAAAATAAATTTGTTTATTAGCACAAAACTTCTCCACGTTTGACTGTTAGTGTGCTAAACATCCATACGTTTCAATTTTCTGCATTTTCACCCTTATTTCAACGTTTCATTGTAGAAAACGTTATTCCGTCCATCTACTGTGAGTTTCATAGTTAAATGGACACCTATAATCACTTTTAATTTTAAACTGGACGGGTAAAATGTTCAAGTCAATTCAAAAACCTCTTTTTCCCCAAAACATAAGCACAATTCATCTTCCATCTTCTCTACTATTCACATCTCTCGCACCCCCATTTTCTTCACCCCCCTCTCATTTCATCTAAAATTTATCCTTTCATAGTGGGCTATTTTTTGCACACAGTGGAGGGTAAACTGGGAGAATGTATTATTTCATTGTGGGTCCATTATTTTTTATTTTAGTGTTCGACACTTCAAGTTTTGAGTGATCGAGGTTTCTCTGCTATTTTTGATGGAATTTAATGCTTCCTCCATTTATTAGAGAGGCTGATGACAACACACCCATATACGGTATGAACATTCTCCATTCATGATCACTGTTTTCCCTTCATTAATTTTATTGCTCGGTAGAATTAAAAATAGGAACTTGATTGGAATGGAAAATGGGAAAAGACATTCATCACTGTTAGTGTAAAATTTGGGGGTTTTTTTAAGTATTCCTTTGAAATTACATGATATTAGTTGGGAGTTGAAATTTTTGTGGTTTTGTTTGGGTTTTGACCATTATATGATGTGAAGTCCATTATTTTCATGAGTTGATCAATGTGCATTTCTTTATGTCAATACCACGTTTCATTGTTCATTCCCTCATCTCCATATTATTTTGCATGCAGGCGTAAATTCAAGCTAATTACTGTTGAATTGCATCACGGATACCACCTCTACGCCAAGCCAAACAATCTGGTACACTAACATGGATATGTGCTTTTCTTCGATATCTTCCTTGTCTTATTGTTTACGAAAGGTAATTTGACGAAATTCTTAAATGCGGTTGATAATGATTTGACGTTGAAATTCTACTATAAAAATGAAAAATGAGTTTAGGGAAAGGGTTGATAAGATTGGACCATGAGGATGATATTAAAGAGATGCTTCAGGATAGAGATGGGCATCCAGTCGTGTAGATATATGTTGTAGCCCCATTGCAATTGCATACATTACCATTGCATGGATGGATCTCAGAAGCTCATCCGCAATGCGATAAATCACAAACATTTAAAGGTTGTTACGTACTTTTGTGGAAGAAAACGAAGGTGAGGAGCTTGAAATTGATTGGTTAGATAAGTTTTTCACGAAAATACTGAAGAGTTGTGGTCACATTATGAGGAAACCCTCCATTTCCATTATAAAAAAGATCAAAATGTAGGTGATATGGGTGTTGAAGTTGATGAAGTCGAGGTCGAAGCTCATAACGATGGCAAACAAAGAAGGAAAAATGAGGTTGAAGGTTTGGTAGAATCTGATTCTGAAATGGAGGAACGACTAGTGTCTAATGCTGAAACTAAGAATAGTCGGGTTAATTTTGATTTTGGATTTAGTGTAGCAGATGAGCATCAGGTTAGGAGTTCGGATACGGACTATGGGGACTCCAACGAGTTACAAAGTATTGATAGTACAAATGAGGATGATACAGGACTCGGACGAGTTACGAAGTATTGATAGTACAAATGAGGATAATACAACTTCAAGAAGAAGGGTTTCGACTGATGCTTTCAATTCAAGGACTGATATGGAGGATCCAAAGTCCAGACAAGGAAACTTCAGCACATTGTTTTCCTTACTTTTAACCTATTTTCTATAGATGACTGACATGATTCTATTTTCAAATTGTTAGGGTTGGTATTTGAGTCCAAGTCTTTATTGAAGGCTGCCATCACTTCACGTTTAGTTAGAAGCAATAGAGAGATTAAATACAAAAAGGATGATACTTTAAGATTGAGAACCAAATATAATGGAGATTATCCTCGGGTTTTGTATGCTATAAAGTAGCATAAAAAGACAAGTTGGGTAATCAAAACATATGTAGAAGAGCATATGTGCCCCATGGTGTATAAGAATTTTAGAGTAAGATCCACTTATCTAGCAGATAGATATTTATCTGATTGGAGGCTTGTACCAAATATGTCAATGACCAAATTCATGGAGAGGGTGAAAAGGGATGGTTTGAGTGATATCTCACATTGGCAAGTGTATAGAACAAAGGAGAAAGCACCTGAAAAGATAAAAAGGACTATGGTGGACCAATACAAAGTACCGTGGGATTATTGTAAGGAGTTGAAGTGGACAAATATGGGGACCACTACTTTGGTTGAGGATTATGCTGGAGAATTTAGACGGTTATATATTTGCCTCAAAGCTTTGGAGGAGGATTCCATTAGGGGGTGTAGAAGAGCGATTGGTTTAGATGCTTGCTTCCTAAAGACGGAGCAAGGTAGGTAGTTGTTGTCTATTGTTGGTGTGGATGCTAATAACGGTATATATCCAGTAGCATATGCAGTTGTTGACGTTGAAAATGGAGAAAATTATAAATGGTTTTTGGAGTTATTGAAGGATGATTTACATATAAACAATGGCTTGCACTGGACATTCATTTCAGATAAGCAAAAGGGGTTGATTAATGCGATTGAGTCTTTGTTTGAGAATGCTAAGCATAGGACATGTATTAGACATCAGTACAACAATTTCAGTATCTCGCATAAGGGATTGGCTTCGAAGCATTGTCATTGGGATGCCGCTAGAGCTACTACTGTACCATAGAGGCTTGAACACATACAAAAGATGTCGGACCTGGACCCGGCTACGTATGGTTAGCTTGAACTAAAACTAGCATCCCACTGCAGCAAATCCACTTCAGAGAATGGATCAGTGTGACATGCTTCTAAACAATCCATGTGAATCATTCAACAGCATAGTTTTCATTGCAAAAGAGAAGCCCATTCTATCCATGCTTGAGGAGTTCAGGTTATATTCAATGAAGAGGATTGTAGCCTGTAGAGAGTCGGCTAATAGATGGACATCGGCAGTAGGCCCTAGAATCCAAAAGATTATCGATAAGATCAGTGAACTCTCCAGGTTACTGAATATATGGGGAATGAGAAGTCCCAAGTTCGCCACAATGCAGGCATTGTACAACATGTTGTTAACCTCAGGGCAAGGACTTGTACATGTCATGGTTGGCAGTTATCAGGAATCCCTTGTTGCCATGTGATTGCATCAGCGGTATCTAGAGACCTTAGTGTAATTGATTATGTACATGCCATCTACAAAAAGAATTATTACCTGATCATGTATTTGCCTTTAATTTCTCCCATTACAGATCCTAACTTATGGACTAGTCCAAGTCTCAACCCATTCAAACCACCTGTGTACACCAAAAAGTCTGGGAAGCCAAAGAATAGAAGAAAAGAGCCAAATGAGGTAAAGTTTTCAAGTCAGGCAAAGAAGTCCAAAAAGTCTTCTCATATTGAAATTCCTTTGAAGATAACATTAGCATGCATATCTGGTGTAGGGAAGAGAGTAGGCCAAACTCAGACATGTTGAAAATATTGTGAACCAGGGCACAATAGGATGAGCTACAAAGAGGCACCACCACTAGTAAGCAATTAGGGATGATTTGTTCATTTTTTTGGTTTTTGTTGAAAGGGGTTGTAGTGCCAATATGTTTACATTTTTGGTTTTCGTTGAATGCAGTTGTAGTGCCAACCTGAACAAGTTGTTGAATTGTAAATTATTTGTTCACATATCTGGATGATCAACAGTACAACACTAGAAATTTATGTGTCTAAAGTCTCTATTTTGCCTATTTTAGATGCAAATTTGGTTCACTCTTAATTCTATTGCTGTTTTAATTTTGTAGTTTTATCAGTATGTTGAGTTGTCATGGTTGATTAGTGTCTTGAATTGCTGTGGTTAATTAGTGTCTTGGGTTGTTATGGTTGGTTAGTGTCTCGAGTTGTTGTGGTTAATTAGTGTCTTGGGTTACTATGGTTGAATATGGTGATTTGGTTTATGTAAATGAAAGGAATGCTTTCAAAGATATGACAGGGACAGTTTTTAAATTTGAAACGCATGAGCGTTATGCGCAAAAATTGTCAAAACGTAGGGACGTTTTGAGAAAGTATCTTTGAATCGTAGGGACGTTTTACTCAAACATTGTTTGAACATCGAGATGTTTTACGCAAAATAGTTTTTCACTCGGGGATGTTTTGTGCATGTTCAAATTTGGAGAAAACCGATTTACAGCTTCAGCTTTTGATGCACAATTCTAGGATTGAGATTTGTGATTTTGGATATCGGTTTGCTACAAATGGTAATGGGGGATGAGAGTAGGTGTGGAAGCCAAAATTTGATTTTTGAAAATGCGTCACCCATGGTGATGATGAACAGTGGACTTTCAAAGATGCATCAGATATGGCGACGATGATGATGAACAGTGGATTTCAACTGTTTTGTTTGATCAATCTTTTTCTTTTTCTTTTTTGAGAATAACCTATTTATAGCGAGAAGAAGAGGCTTTTGAAGTGGCCTAACCATTTTACCCTTTCAGTTTAAAATTAAAAGTGAATCCAGGTGTACATCTAACCATCCAACTCACAACAGAACGAAAAGACATTTTCCACAATTTAAATGTTGAAATAAGGGTGAAAATGCAAAAAATTGAAACATAGGGACACTTTGCACATTAAGGATCAAACGTAGTGATGTTTTGTGCTAATAGCCAAAATAAATTCTACGCAATTAAATTGTCTAGAACTTATTTGCATGTAAATTTCAATTATATAAATATGATTGATTTAATTTTCAACTTAAAAAATGTTATACTTCTTTATTTTTTATTGATGGGTAAATAAGAGAGAGTGGAGGCAAATGAGAAAGAAAGAGAGAGAATTACTTGGAAAATATAAACATACTCTCTCTAAAAAAAATATTTTCCTTATTTTCAAAGAAAATATAGTTATGTGACTAAAAATAGAAAATTATTCTCCATAGAAAAAATATCAATCAAAAATCATAAAAGTAGGAATTTGGTTGGAAAATGATATTTTCATGGAAAATATTGGCAATCTAACGCACCTTAAGAGATAGAAAGTATTAATTTTTTTTTCATTTTTTTTAAAAGATGGGGAGATAGTGAAACTAGTCAATGATCTTATGCATGGGCGGACCCACTTGAGGTCGAGTGGGGTCGGTCGCCCTGACTCGATTTTCAAATTTTTTATTTTTCTTGAGGTTTTTTCAAGTTTTCCAAGTTTTTTCCTATAATTTTTTGGTTTCGCCCCCACTGAATTTTCATACTGGATCCACCTCTAATCTTATGAGTTTTTATAACTAACGTAAATATTTTTTATTAGAGTACTTATAGAATGATGCAAAAAATAGAAAGAAAAATAATAATATTAAATAAATATAAAATACTTAACCTCTTTTTCAGAGGATAATGATGGGCTTCTGATAAAATTAATGTAGATTCACATTTCGATTCACTATTCAAGTTTGAGAGAGAACATTTATAGATCACTTTTAAGAAAACTTTTTTGCCAATTTGTTTTTTAAAAAATTAGAGTGTGGTTAGTTTGCTACTTTGAAATCATTTTCAATTTTCTAAAACACTCAAAACGAGTTTGGTATGTTATTTTTAAAAATGCGTTTTCAAAAAAAAAATTTACAAAAATAAAACTTAAAATGACTTTTTGAATGTTTTGAATGAAATTGTATAAACACACTCAAAAAACTCAAAAAAGGGAAAATGAACTTAAAATTTTCAAATTAAAATAATTAACAAAATCACATAGAACCTACCCAAATATAAATATCCATATCTCAATCTTTGTCACCCTCTCTCTCGTTCCAAGTTCCTCCAAACATTATTAGAGAATCCATATCTATAATGCTATATCTTGATAACTTATTTATTTTTTTTACGATCTTTAAATTATTATTTTTTTTATCATATTAGCATAAAATTGATATATTTTACTAAAGGGTAATTAGCATAAAATGTCCCTACCTTTCAAAATTATTGTGCAAAACATTCATATCTTTTATTTTTTAGATTTTCAATCATGATTTCACATTTCATTATGAAAAATTTCATTCTCATCCAATTTTCAATAAAAATGCAAAATGACAAATATACCCTCTTATTTCAATAAAGAAAAAGATAAAAGAAAAATTAAAGAACAAATTGCAATTTTGCTTCCAAATTTTTTTAAAACTGCAAAAGAGTCCAAATAAATTATTAAAAGGGTAATTAGTACAAAACGTTGCTATCTTTCAAAATCATTGTGTAAAACGTCTCTACCTTTTATTTTATTTTTTTGAAATTTTCATCTTTATTTGCACATTTCATTGAAAAAATCATCATTTTCATCCATTTTCAATACAAGTTGTAAAATTACGAGTATACTCTCCTATTTAAATAAAACAAATTGCAATTATACTTCCAAAATTTTCAAAAAAGTACAAATAAATTTCAAATAAATAACTAAAAATTTTGAAATTTATTTTTACTTTTTTGAAAAAATTTGGGAGTATAGTTACGATTTGTTCTTTATTTTTCTTTTCTTTATTTTTATTTTATTTAAATAGAATGGTATATTCTTCATTTTATAGCTTTTAATTGAAAAAATGAATGAATATGATGATTTTCACAATATAATGTGAAAATACCAAAAAAAATAAAAATAAAAGATATGAATGTTTTGCACTATAATATTGAAAAGTATGGATGTTTTTTTCTAGTGACTATTTTAATAATTTAATTGGATTTATTTGCAGTTTTTTAAAACATTGGGGAGTATAATTACAATTTGTTCTTTCATTGTCCCTTTTTTGTTTTATTTAAATAAGAGAGTATATTTTTCATTTTTCATTTTTTTATTGAAAAATTTGATGAAAATGACATTTTCTGCAATAAAAAGTGAAAGTATGGGTGAAAATGCCAAAAAATGAAAGATAAAAACGTTTTGGACAATAACATTAAAAGGTAAGAGTATTTTGTACTAATTACCTTTTTATTAAACAATCAAATTAATTACAAAATGTCATAGAACTATTTCTAAATTTTGTAATCAAAACGCGTTTTTTAATTTTTTGTTTTGAGAAAGTTTTTCAGAATGACAAACTAATCGCGCTTTCTGCAATTGTAAAATAATCTCTCAAAACAAAAAAATAGAAAATTAATTCAAAATTGAAAACATAAAATAGAAATGCAAACCAAATGCACCCTTATTTTCTTGAGATCTTTAATTCAAGAAATTTACTTTTCATTGTAATCTTACTTGCTTTAAGATAAAAATGCTTTTACCCTTTTTAAGCTTAATCAATCACACTGGGTGTAAGATTTTCTAATTCATCATCAAATTTTATCCACAATAACTTCAATTGAAAAAAAAAATTTAAAGTTTCACCAACTCGTCACGATAGTATTTAGATGCAAGGTATATAAAGCTTACCTATAGAGATCTATTATTAAAGCAATTCTTCATTAAAATTCATGTGATGCTAATTATCTATCCTCAAAATTATTTAGGGAGGATTTACACAAATGTCACTAAAATTGAAAATGCACAAAATATTTTGAATTGCACCAATTTCTTCCAAAAATGGCACTTTTTCTACAAAATGTCCATTTTACCCTTTGAAACCTTTTTAGGAGCAATAAATGTTTGATTTGAATGTAATTAATGGTGTGATGTGATGACTTGTTTTTATTTATTTTTAACATTAAAGATATAAATATTATATTGTACAATATGAATTTTTTTTTATTAAAAAAGGAGTGAAATCTTTACAAAAAAACGCACACGTACAAATTGAAAGAGTTTCTTCTTCTTCATCATCTTCATTCCATCATTAGCAAGGCAACAAAGAATGCCATTGATCAATCTCAAAGGTGAGCTACTACAAAAAAAAAAATCTTCTCATATCACACTTTACTACTTGAAATGTTCAATATAACATGATAATATTTAATTCACATTTTTTAATTTCTCATTCACTGATGTGTTTTACTTTTGGTATAGTTTAGAAAGGGAAAAATATCAATATTCTCTACAAAATGTGAAGAATTTCATATTTAATGAAGCATCGATTTATACCTTCTTTATTTGTGGAAAGATAAGTGCAATGTTGTAGTTGAGAATTGATTATCACCATTAATGTTTTCAATAAATTCTTCAAACACCGAAACACATGTTTTTTAGTTTC